ACACACACACACACACAAAAAAAACCCGGAGGGGGGAGAAGATATAACAACTACAGTTTTTTTGAAGTTGTTACAACAAGCAAATGGAAAGGACATTCTTGGGGGGGAGGGGAGAGAGGGAGGAGGGAGGGAGGTGTCGATGATGGGCCATAATAATCAACCACATTGTATATTGACAAAATAAAAATTTAAAGGAAAAAAAAATAAAAAAATAAAGGAGGTATAATCATCCTAGACCCCATTTCTACCAATAATTTCTTATATGCAATAGCCAATACACTATCAAAGATATTCTTATATACAAGAGAACAATATAACGTGAAAGAGATACAACATAAATAACAGACAATGAAAACAAACACATTAATATGCCAAATACTAAAATTGCCAGGCACAGATTGCTAAACAACTGTAATTATTAAGCTCATGGAGATAAAAGCCAAAGTAAAAACTTTTCCAAGGAACTGCAAACTATAAAAAGTGACATTGCAAATAAGAAAAAAAATAATTAAAAAATTTAGAAGTGATAAATATAATAGCTAAAATCAAGACCTCAACAGAAGGGATTTTGGGGAGATTAGACAGATTGGACAGAGATTAGTAGAGATATAGTGAACTAGAAGATAGATCAGGATAATCTATTTGGAAAAAGCAAAATTTATGTGGATAAGCAAAAGGATGGAAAATACAGAAAAGAGGTTAAGACACATAGAGGATGCATAGAAAGGGCATAACATACATTTAATTGGAATCCCAGAAGGAAAAGAGAGATAAATGGAGTAGAAGAAATATTTGGAGAGTTAATGACTTAAGACTTTTCCAAAAACTGATGAAAGATTTCATTTGATAAAAGTTAGAATCCCCCAAAACCCAACCAGCCTAGCGAAGTAGGATAAATAGAATGACATACTTATCTAAAAATAACCAAAAAAAACCCCCATGAAGATAGAGAAAATATGTTAAAGCTAGCCAGGGAAGTGGGTGGGTAGAGAACAGATTATCTTTCAGGAAGTGGCAGNCTTACATAAACTCCAACTGGTTAGCTTCTTTTGAATTTAACTCAAGAAAACTCAAAGGTTGTTTCACATTTGTCAAAGTAGTACAATCTTATGGTGTGATTTCAAGTATTATTTTATAAGATTAGATCATTAATAAAGGTTCAGTTGATTTATGTCTGTATATTAACCTTCCAAATGAGTCTTAAGTTGACAAAGCATCACACAGACTTAAGGTACAGGACATTCACTTTTTGTAATGCTAACTTGAACTAACTCTACTGACAAAGACAATTTAAACTTTTTCAATGACATTTAAAAACCTCTCTCTAAATGCAGCAAAACACAAGGTAGTGGACAATTTCTGAGTTAATATCTGAGAGAGGTGTGAGCCCAGTATTTGGGACTGTTTTTGCCTACAGGGCATTTACTAATCCAGAAAGGTTTAGCAACACTTCTGAGAGCCTCTGATGGCAAAGAGGACCAAAGTTTGAGTCCAAGGACTGATTGGGCTGGAAGTCCTGGTAAACCATTTATATCCTAGGTAAAATGAAAGTAAAACAGCATTCACTGATACTGCATCCTAGCTTCTAGTTACCTGAGTCGCCCTCCAAAAATCCCAAGCCATGGAATGAGAGCGAATTCTGTATTGCTAATGCATCGGAGCATTGAGAATCTTGCAAATGCAATTTATTTTATTTTTAGTATTTTTAATTTTTTAATTTTTTTTAGGTTTTTTTTTTTTAAATTTTATTTTGTCGATATACAATGTGGTTGATTATTGTGGCCCATTACCGAAACCTCCCTCCCTCCTCCCTCTCCCCACTCCC